ACGAAGTGGATAAATGAATCTCAAGTAAAATTTTCAAATATTATTAGTGATAGAGAAACTGGACTTTGGTCTATAGAATTGCCAACTTTTAATGCTGTTCTGCGCGTTATCTGGTGAAGATAAATACATTTGTGTAAAACACAATAATACTGACATACATGTGACTTCGTCACGGAATTCATATTATTATGGTGAAATATTTATTTCCTGATACTTACTCAGAGATTTACAAAAAGATTTAGTTTGAAAAAACGTAGAAAAAAATTTATATAAACATTTTGATGGCTTCGTTAAGAAAAAGATTATCTATTTTTATAATGAATTTTCCTATAATGTCGGATTTTCATTTCTAATCGTAATTATAAGTCTAAAATGTACAATTACACTTACATTATATCCGACAGATAAATAATACAATTTTATTAGTCATTTATTTTTTAAAAAGATATACGTCTAAATACAAAATTCGTAGTTGCAAAAATTTTAAGTTATACTAGAAGTATAAAAAAAACATTTAAACGAATTAAATGTTATAAAAAGTTTAGATATCTTATCTTCAAAAAAATGTTAATGTTAAAAAATAAATGGAAGAAATATTAAACATTTTATTTATAAACGAAGCAAGATTGATTTAAAAATTGAATTCCAATTAAAATTGTATGAAAAAAATTGTTAAGTCTCAATTGTATCTTATGTTAAGTTAGCCATTAAATAAAATTATTTAATTTCTTATAGAAGAAAAATTAGTAAAAAAATCATTTAGTCAGAAAATTGCCTAAATTTGCATAAATACTACGTTTGAAAAATTTGTTTTTAAATATACGTATTAGAAATGTTTAATCAAATTCAATATATTTTCTATAGAAATAATGGAATTAACATGATTAAATTTTAATTAAATTCAAGTGAATTATAAGTTATAAAAAAATTATTAATGATTAATAATAATATTTTATTTTTACAAATTTCTAAGTGTAAAAATGATTCATTATTAACAAAAGTGCCTTCCCGTTTAAATGCGTATAAACTTTTAGACTGCTAATTCGAAAATTTTAGACGTAGGCGTATATAAAAAGAAATTGAAAAATATATTAGTTAACTATCATCCTTCCTACCCTATATAGATTAGCAAATAAAATTGACTGAAAAGAAGATGATATAAATCAAGAACACTATACTTATAGTTTAAACATCGAAGATAAGTGCACGTATAGTGATAAATATAACTTACAAAAATTCGTTCAAAATATTCAAGAAAGGATAAACGAAAAGGATAAATTTTGTTTAGCCCTTCAGTTTATCAGTCCACTTAATGCAGTAAAGTGCTTCATCCTTCGAAACCTCGCAACAATTTCAAAGAAACTCGTGTTTAACCAAGAAGTTACTAGATCACATCATTTCAAGATGTCCGAAGTTTAATATATGTGTGGTAGAGTCTCTCTCTCTCTCTCTCTCTCTCTCTCTCTCTC